GGGGGATTAATTTTTTTTTCATTCATATACCAACCAAAAACCCAAACCCCCCCCCCCCCCCCCATAATAGAAGCCTCCCCCATATTAGAAGCCCCCTCTGGAGGAATCGATGTGGAAAGTGTATCAGAAGCCCAAGGGCTTCTATTACGTCGGAAAAATAATTTAAATTTTTTAAACGACACATCTGATCGACACGCGTTTTTTTATTTTAATTGTTCTTGTGTGATGTCGTGTGTAAAAAAAAGGAAACGAATAAAATTTACATTTTTTATCTACGATTTCTGCCTATGAGAGATGTCAAATAGGTGAAAGAGAATGCCTATATGAGAGAAAAATCCATCTTACGTCTCAATAAATTAAGTCTACGATCTTAACTAGACGACAATTGCGCCAGCGAGAATTGCAAATGCAGTGCGAAGTTAATACCACATAGTAGCCGTACCATATTGATGAAGAAAATGTAGATTACTTGCATGATTATATGAGATTCAAATAATGATTTATCAGTCTGAAACAGAGATAATCGCAGAGCAAATTTTTTCGCCCTACCCTGTTAGAAAATTACTCATAGAAAACTTTTGGCTTTATAGATTATTTATTAATTCAGGCACACAGGTCCCTATTCGCGTTTAAAATTTTACTGTGCCCCTTCTAGTTCCCACGAAAATCGTTACAGAAACTGCCACTTTTCTAGAAAGGAAAAATTCAGTTTATTATTATAATGTGATATTGCTTCGCACCGCATTTAGGCCGCCCCAGAATTGTAACCGGTTCGGTGCCGTACCGGTTGAGTGAGTTGGACCGGCCGGTTTCACAAAGTTGTGCATATTCGTTCATTTTTCATCAGAAAGATACTATGTATGGGTGCTTAGTAGCTTTTTTTAAAGGAAAGAGAGAGTGACAATTTAATTTGAAATGTAAATTTTTACTTTTTATTCTTTCAATTTGTTTTCAAAGACAAAGTCATATTATTTATTATTTAAAGTATCTTAGCGATCGGAACATTGTCACGTATTGGCGTTTATATGCTTTTATCTTTTTTTCTTTAATGTTAATCTAATGTTTCACTTTCAATATACCGATACCGTAGCTTCCTAACCCAAATTCGTCTTAATTGGCTTTGTTATTTGACATAGTGAATCTCTTCCCAAATTTATTTTCAAATTATTCGTGACGTTCCGTCATTCGACAAATGACTGCTTGAGACAGACTATTATATTTACACACTACAAATTTAGTCCCTAATATCAATGTTATTACTTGAAAAAACTTGATGAACTCGCCGGTTTTAACCGGTCTGGAAATATTTTTAGACCGGTCGGTGACTGGCTGTACCGTACCGGACCGGTCTAGTATTTCCAGATCGGTTACAACTCTGGGCCACCCTCCCTCCAAAAAGTCGATTTTCTTCAAAAAAATGATTTTTGCGATAGATATACGGATATGTCGCCTGAGATGTCTACTGCACAAATATATAAAAATATTATTGAATGTTGAAGATTTTTAAGTAGTTTTCGAGAAAATTTTGCAGTTCTCTGAGGCAATTATTACCTTTTTGTACACGAGACACGCTAATTAGCGCTTTTTGAATAACTCAAAGACGATAAAAGATAGAGATCTGGGGTTTTCAGCAATCGAAAGAAGTCAGTTTTGCCTATGGTTTCATATGAAAAATCATTTTCGAAAAATACCTGAAAGACCGTTTTTCTAAGAGGTCTTTAGAAAACCTATTTGGTTCTCCGAATACTGAGATAGCAATCTATCAACCCATTTTTACCTATTTTTGAGTAAAATTAGAAAGTTCATAACTCATTTAAAAGCCATCCAAATTATGCCAGACTATCAAGATGTACTCTATTTTACCTGCTCAATGCTGTGGAGATCAATAAAAGCTATAAAAACTAACAGAAAATATTTTGAGTTTTAAAAAAGTTTTCTAGAAATTCTGAACTGCAAGGATATTTTTTACTATTCCTAAGTAAAAGATCATTTTGAGCAGGTAAAATAGAGTACATCTTGATAGTCTGACATAATTTGGATGGGTTTTGATTGAGTTATGAATTTTTTAATTTTATTCCAAAATAAGCAAAAATGGGTTATTTCACCTCTTATAGGTTTTCAGAAAAATAAATGTTGCCACGAGAATCAGCGTGGTCGATTACCTGAATTACTCCGTTCGAGTTTTACAAACATCTTGTTCTCTGATAAAATTAACGAGATCTTCTTCACTGTCAATTAACTTTTTGCCAAATACTTCGAGACATTTTCTTGGAAATAAGTAGAAAAATGAGGTGTCTTATGTAGTAGGATGAAAAACTATAAATGTGCGACTTTTCTTCTGATCTTCGTCATTTAAGGCTAATACGAATGAAACTGGAATCTGTTGCGTGTCATTAAAATAAATAAATATTTTTCCAAGATTTATTGTGTCATTTTCTTTTTTATACAAATTTTTGTATGCAGGATCGTTTGTACTTGTATCCTGTAAGGGGTGTATCCGGATCAAAAGAAGTGAATGATCTCTTCTACTTTAGACAGCAGAAATAAGATCTTTTCCTTCGACTTCACATATAAGTTTGGTAGACTCGTCAATACTAAAATAAGACGAAAGAAAAGCGATAAGACTGGTATACGAGTGGAACGTTTAGAACAATCTTGGATTGATTCAGCATATTTGATCGTTTTCTCACTACGATCGAAATAGTAGGATACAAAATAAGTCGTGATAGAGGTGCTATGTTAGTCTCAAACGTTATGCAGTACATATCAATTTACTGATTTGTACGTAAAGGCTTTATTAGGTTACTGGTGGTAATGTACATTCTTTATGTTTTTTCCTTAAAATTTCGTAATGTTTTTTTATGAATAGACGTATGAATTCTACCATTTCTTCTAAATTTTGATCATTCGCTAGACGATCAACATATTGAAATGAATAAAACTCATCTAAATTGATCATGTCAGCCGGCATCACATAATGCCAGTTGTTGGGTTCAATGACTTTTTGAACAGCCGCGAATCCGTCAAATTGTACCATCTGAGCAGGTGTATGTGACCAGAATCCCTCAACTTGCGTCAGATTGTGACCTATCCGTTTAATTAAGCATGCTAGAGCAACATCCGACATTGGATTTGTGTTGGGCCATTTGTTTTCTAAGTAATCTGTTAGATTTACTTGTAATTTCTCCAAGAGTTTGAATGAAAGTAAAAATCCACCTCCACCAGATGGAAAGATGATTGAACCGCCTGGAGTATCATAACATTTTTCATGACCGGTATGACCACCAATATAATAAATCTATAATAGTTATAAACATGTCAAATAAATTAAATACTGAATGTGTCAAACATATAGATATTATAAAACAAAGTAGAGTAAAAATAAAACGAAATAGAGTTCTTTTTAAAATGTTCTCATTATTGATATGTTTCTTAGATCTCACGTTTCTATGAAGTGAATATATACTGTTTTAAAATCTATTATATATCCTTACCTGTTGATAGTCGTATGACTCTAATCGTTTCAATAAATGTCTGACATTCACATAAGTGTCGCATCCAATTAAATAATACCATTTTTGTCTCTCATTCAACGGTTTTGATATTTGTTGTCCATAAATCAATTGTAAGCCGTAGAAGATTTTTTTCATATTTGATACATAATCCTCACCGGCATTTTTGATGACAGTCACTGGGAGATTAGAATACGGTTTAGAACTGAGAAAATAATAATTCGTTACACGTGATAGCCATGTGTCACGAAGAGCCATTGCTCTTGTATGATAGAATTTTGAACTGGTATAAATGACAAAGGCAATATCAGACTCTTGATAACGGTGAGCTTTTAACCAATTTTGGTTAGGATTCGGGATCAACTTACAGTATGATAGTAAATAAGAAATGTTTGTAGTACAAACGTACGGTTCACTAATTAGAGATTCGTTACGCATACTCTGAACTTTAACAGAGTTGGATGTATTTGCATTGTTAGTGTCGTTATATCTAGTTTCGCAGATCGCTTGAATATACGATTTGTTTAATATTGTTCTATTCATTACGAACATTCTTTCGAACGATTTCAATTGAATATCCCAAATTTGTTTTAGAAAAAATAATACAATAATAATCGAAGGACAAGCAATTAAAATAATGAAAAATAATTTTAAAAATGATTGTCGATTACCCATTTATTCTTTATAACTTTATAAACTTTTGCCAGTTATAATGATTGCAACGATATTTCTTCTCTATAAAGATTAGAGATATTATAAAGGTCTTTGGCATTTTTTAGTAGAACATTTTCCAAGCATCTTTTCTACCTTTTAAAGTGCGTGAACAATAATTGTATCTTCTGGGCGGACAATATACGTCGATTATTATGGTTCTCAGTAATTTAGAGAAAAAGAAAAAATAGTTAAAATTTTTGCCAAAAAATGAAAATCAACTAAAAATTCGAACCACACATTAGTCGACTCAGTTTTTGGTCCTGATTTCAGATATGATATTATTTTTGCTGAAAATTTGAGTTCTGATGGAGAAAATTGAGAATTACGGGCAGAATTCCGACTTTTTCTCCTCTAATTTAGAAAAAATGAATTTTCTCAGCGAGAAAAAAAAATTTCAAAAAACTGTATATTTTTGAAGAAGAGAGTTCGGCGAATCGAACTGTGTAAACATTTTAGCTGTAGGACCTTTAGAAACACCTGTGTTTGGTTTACCAAAATCGGGTTCAGTTTTTCAGCCTCGCAAGTGCCGGGATTTTTGGCGAATAGGCGTTTGGTTCTAGAAATGTTTTGAGACAACTTTCTTATTCAGTTTTTGATACTGAATCCAAAAAACTTTAGCTCGGCTCTGGAAACCGTAACGCAAAAAAAAATGACAGCCATTTTGCTGATACCTCTCGAGTATTTCGATTTTTTCGACCCAAAAACAGTTTCCAAAAAAAGCGACGAACACATATTTGTGATCAGCTCGATGCCTTCTATCGAATGGTGTATAAAAAGAATCAAAAATAAATTTCATGCAAAGTCTGCTTTCTGTGCACCACAAAATACCCATGAGGAGGCATTTTCGATAAATTTATCGCGATAAATGATATTTTTATCCACCCGTCACCGATTTTTCTAGTATTTATCTAAAGGAAAAATTCATCGCGATAAAGAACTTTTTCATCGCAGAAATGTCTTTTATCGCGATACCTGTCGATAAATATATCATATTATAATTTGCTATGATTTATCGCGGTGAATTTTTCCTTTCGATAAATAGTAGAAAAATCGGTGACGGGTGGATAAAAATATCATTTATCG